AGCAGTGTTGAGTCGCTGGGGGATATTTGTAGCAATAGCCAACAATACATTGTATGGGTCACAATTATACATTTCTCTTTTATGCCAAAAATCATTAGGATATTACGTAAAGATCATGTTCCATGAAGATATTTTGTAAATGTCCTACTGTAAATATATCAAAACTTAATTTTTGATTAGTAATATGCATTGCTAAGAACTTCATTTGAACAACTTTAAAGATGATTTTCTCTATATTTAGATTTTTTGCACCCTCAGATTCCATTTTTTCAAATAGTTGTATCTCAGCCGAATATTGTCCTATCCTAACAAACCATGCATCAATGGAAAGCTTATTTATTCAGCTTTCAGATGATATATACATCTCAATTTCGAAAAATTGAGCCTTATGACTGGTTTTGTGCTCCAGGGTCACATACCATCAAAGACCATTACAGAGTTGCAAAAATATATAAAGCCCTAAATTTTTCGAATATAAAATATAAAGTGACGTAGAGGGTTTAAAGGGCAAAACTGAAACCGCCAGTGTTACAGAGACTGTAACATTTCTAAATGATAAATTCCTTGATGTGTGGGCAAAAGATGAATAATAAAAGAAAATATTAAAATGTATTTGAAAACGCATGTCAAACGTGTTAAGCTGGGCTAGAGTTAAAAGATAGTTTCCTTCTACTATGCTAAAAGCCCTGAATGCCTCAGTGCTGTCTCTCTCATTCAGAGTCAGCTGAATGCTGTTATCGGAGCCGGCGTGATTTACAGTAGAGCACAGTGCTTCAGCTGAACATCATACACACAGAGATCTTCAAAGAAACGATCGCCATGAAGAGGACAGCTTGTTGTTTAATGTGTCAAAGTGAAACTCAATGACTTTAAAGAGGTCTTTAAATACAGACCTTGAATGATACATGGTTACATTTTAGACTAAATGTATTCTATGACCAGAAGCTTTTTAGTCTAATCATTAGTCTCCACCGTGATACAGGGCCAAAGGATTATTCTTGAAGGAACTTGATAATCCTATGCAGACATTAGAACTATAGCTGCTACAGTATGTATATGTATATATAGCTACAACAGTTGTTTGTGAGTAGGAGAGAAATGTGTATTTCCGGATCAGGCCAGAATATTAAAGTGCAATAGATTGAAGCTTAAAATATAGGGCGAAAAGAAAATCTGGCTAATCATGAAAACCTGTGAAGTATGGTAGCCTATTAGTTACGGAAAAGACGACCTGTGATGTATTGTGAACTATTCCGGTTCTCCAAAATGATGCCGAGTTAAATTTTCGGTTTTCGATATAGCGCCATGTCAGCCGCATGTGGACATTTTATTAGTATGTTATGGTATGCTTTATTAATATGATATGCTTATTGAACATCGTGTTATGTTTGCATTTCCTGCATTGCTTAGAGTCACATGCTTCTTTGCGGAAATAACAGAACAAAGAACAGCTTATTATTTTGATTTGCCCCTAGTTAAAATCACATAATTGATCTGACATTAAATTTCAGTTTCCAAGGGAATCATGCATCCTTCGAATCAAAAAAGTTGTATTCTCTTCTTATTCTTCATTAAAACATCTCAGTTCAATCATCAAAGCCCTCACTACACTTCATTACGAATGTTGCTTCTCATGATGTCCCACCTATTTTGCTTTTTTCAAATTCGTTTCATTTATTCAGATGATCTATTGCTTTTGTGTAATCATATTTATGTTCAGCTCTCATCACTTGTTTTTTTGCACTTGTTCCCACAGACTTGGTGTCTTAAATGATTGTCCATTATACAAATAGGCTACTCAATCATTTTTTGACTGTGGAAATAAGAAAAATATCAGGCACATTTCAAATGGAAATGGTAAAATTATATATATATAAAAGATTTGTCTAAAAATGTCTCTCCCTGTATTCAGAAGTCAATGCTGTTTGCTATTTGAACCACTAGAGTTCACACTCTTATCAAGCTGTACAAATAAAATAAAAAGTGTGGAGTGTACGATTGCTTGATTTATTCATCTTGCTTATATTCCACTTTACAAATACTTATATTCCTGGTGCAAGAATTCCCCTTTTTTTTGCATTAATTGGTCTTTATGTTCCATCAAATTTGCATTGTACAATTAAAAAAGTGTCCTTGGAGCAAGAACAAGAGCAGCGCACTCTGATGCTTAGGAGAGTAACTGCAGGCTGCCTAATGAAGTGCAGACATAGCAAATAATTTCAATAAATCTGTTAATTTTTATTTTCAGTCCATCATGCTGAACATAGGAACGGACAAAAACAATTATACATTTTTACAAATCCAAACACATTTATTCCAGATCTGAAAGTTATATAATAAATAAAACATCACACAACTGTGTGCGTGTGTGTGTGTGTGTGAGAGTGTGTGAGAGTGAGTGAGTGTGTGTGCGTGCATTGTCTGCAGTGTGACGTCGTCTTACTGGAAAGACATTAGATGTAAATGACTGG